TCAAATCAACTTGAGTTAAGTACATTTTTTATCTACTTTACCATTAGGTATTTTCTGTAGCTATCATAAAAACCCATATAGATGAATATGATTTTTATTTTGAGTGAATGAAACTATTTCTGCATCAAAAACTCCCCATCAAGTGTTTTATTAATTGCAGATAAACTCTCTAAAATAAGACGTTTAAACCTTTTATCTTGCCAGTAGTAGCATGTTTATGATAAGTGCCCTGAGGGCTACAACAAATGTAGAGTTAAAAGAAGCAACTACCACTGCTGAGTGTAAAACCATGTAAGCTACAAGAAATAAAACCCTCACACAGAATTCAAGAGGCTGGATTGGATTAGATTTAGATTTTTTTCCACAGTAACTATGTTCATAAGTACTTATGTTCAGGGGTGAACAGAACATTTTCAGTGAGTTACTCAGGTGAGTACCAGGAGATAGTGTTTAGTACTCGCCCCATATGTTGTGTTGTCGTAAAGTACCTTGTGACATGCATATATTTCAAATACAAGAAGTCAAATAAAACAACTTTATATTTAAGAAACTTGGCATGAAACACATGATTTAATATTTTTGTCACATAACTGGCCTATTTTCTTTTGAACTCAGCWAAAGTGAAACAGGAAGTGACATCAAAGGGGAACTCTKTACAAAAAGGRACTCYCTGTATATTGYTTGAATTCTGTCTTCTTCATCTCTCTGATAGTTATTCCAAATAATCTAAAGAAACAYCAGATTCTTCTCTACAATCTGTGTKGTTAGCCATTGTAGCAAYGCTCTGTTTACATTCAGACATTMCCCTTTGACATCACTTYCTGTTACTTCACATGCRGATRTCTCAACAACTGTTCATCTCAGTGTTGTAAAACTTCTTTTTCAACATGTTGTTGATGTTATCTTTCCAAAAATGCATTMATAKTTATSACAAARATTTGATGTCACATGCACTTTAAGTGCAAACTTTCTCCCTGCACAGTCCTCTGCTTCAGCTTCCTGCATGGCAGATTATGAAGATGCTGCAGGTGCACCTCCCTGTCTTGAGACTCTGATCAGCTGTCTCATCTTCAGGTCAACAGATGGCTTTGAGTCAGATATCTCTGTGGTCTGCTTTGACTTTATACCCAAGAACTGATTGTGATGGAAAAATRTGTATTTAACTATGCTCTCCTGCCATTTGAAACTSATGTATGTATCAGATGTCTTGAATTATTTGAACACAAAAAAACTTTATAACTTTGGCCTCATAACCTCTGACTCTATAAACTCTGTACTAAAATGTAATGAAACATAACTAAAACCGAAGCAGGTTTGGTTTGTATAATCAGCTWAAATCAGAACACATCTGTTAGGGCTTGGTTCCACTTTATCTTGTTGGGACTAGGTGAACTTGTGACCTCTGTATGTAATGATGTGTCTGTTGTATGAGGTTATACATTTAATAATTGCTGATTGCTGTGTTCTGGGCTCACTCCTTCRTACTTGCTGGGGGTATGAGTCTCCGAGCTCTCGGAAATAACTTGCAAAAGACAGGTTGACTCTCTTGACTTTTTAAAACATTTTGTCTCACTTCATTGATAAATAAATAATTTCCACTACACTATATTCCACAGTACCTATTTTCCTTGATACCCATGTTCCACATCACTTAGGTTCCCTGGTACTTTCCACAGCACCTACTGTATGTTCCACAGCACCTATGTTCCCTGGTACCTTCCACACCTATGTTCCCTGGTACCTTCCACAGCACCTATGTTCCCTGGTACCTTCCACAGTACCTATGTTCTCTGCTACTCTCCACAGTACCTATGTTCCCTGGTACCTTCCACAGTACCTATGTTCCCTGGTACCTTCCACAGTACCTATGTTCCCTGGTACCTTCCACAGCACCTATGTTCCCTGGTACCTTCCACAGTACCTATGTTCCCTGGTACCTATGCTCCACAGCACCTATGTTCCCTGGTACCTTCCACACCTATGTTCCCTGGTACCTTCCACACCTATGTTCCCTGGTACCTTCCACACCTATGTTCCCTGGTACCTTCCACAATACCCATGTTCCCTGGTACCTTCCACAGCACCTATGTTCCACAGCACAGAGAATGTGCTTTCTGCTAATTATGAAATCTTTAAATTGCATTGCATTTTATTTGAATTGTTGCAGTCAGTCAGAATCTTATGCATGATGTTATGTATTTTAATCATGCGCTTAAAAAAGGCAGTAATATGCTCTCTCTCACAGCACAGAGCGCAGCAGCTTCTGTGAAAATTAGCATATGCTCTTTGCATGTTGTGTTCCAATCAACACCATTTGAAACCAGAGCTAATGAATACCCATGACTCCTGCAGGGTGGTTTGTCACTGGATTGAATTCCAATTAAGCTCTGCCACCATTCTGCTCAAAAGGCAGGTGTAGTTTTAAACAGAGCTTAAGCTACAAATAAAAACAGCTAAAGTACTGTTTTACGCATGAGCAAAACAAGAAACCTGACAAACAACAATGCCTGTTTAGCTACAGAGAATAGGGGCAAACATAATTAGCAAGATGTCATGTTGAGAATGTCATACAGCAGGTTTCAGGTACTGGGAAAGTAAACAAAACACTGCAGATGAAGGAAACAGCAGTAAGCCAAGAGTCTATTAGCGTGCGTGTGTGTGTGTCTGTGTGTGTGTGTGTGTGTGTGTGTGTGTGTGTGTGT